CGCTTCCACTCTTTCCCGGGGAAGAAAGCTCTCTAAGAGCATCATTTCCGCATATAGCCAACATGTAGTCAGCAGGGTCGACCTGGAAGAGCTCCCTCAAATGCCTACTTTCAAACAGCCAAAAGGGGAAAACTTTCATCTATTTGACAACATTCCATGACCCAGAAGTGATTTTCAGAGGAATATGCACATCGATGTAAGAATATGAAATGAAACCATACCTAAACACCACGGGACAATAATCTTTCCAGCGAAACTCCACCGACTGATGAGGCGGTGTATTCTTCGATCCCTCGGGTGGAAACCGAGTCCAGAACTTCTCTCTGGGATCGAAATCGCTGGGCTTAAGCTCCCTCAAGATTGAAGCATGCCTCCCCACAGAATACCTATCAAAATCAAACTTAATCAAACTACACTCCAGAGTACAAAACAAACCCAGGAACGTAAGCACAACATGATTCTGACTCAATGGGCTAAGAATACTACAATGAAGGTGGATAATTTACCTGATACCCAATTGCAAATTAAGCATTAGATCATAATTCTTATGCCCTTTGGATATTGTCTGACCAGGTTTCTTAACGTCGCCGTCGAAACAGCAGGGGTTTCGCCGGAACTGGCGGAACCCATACCGGTCCGCCACAATTCCTTCTCCATAAATCATGGCGGCTTCGGCGTTATCGATGATATCACAAGTAATATCCCCAGCTTCGCCGTCAGATTCCCATATGCAAATCTTCGGGAAAATCCTCTCCCCTCCCAAACTTCCTCTCCCTATATCAACAGACGATCTCTTCCGCGTCGTCACTATCAAATCGTTCTTATCTATCCTTTTCAACAAATTCCCTTTACCTCCGCCATTGCCGTTCAGCTGCTGAAGCTGAATTCTCATGCTGTTCCCTTTCTCTTCGTTCCAGTTTCCGGCGCAGCTGCTGCCGTCGGCCCACATGATAACTCCGTTTCCTTTGGGGATTCCATTCTCCCACTGACCCTCGTACTTGTTCCCATTCGCCCAAATCAGAACTCCTTTGCCGGAGATAACGCCGTTCTTCCACTCACCGACGTACTCGGTCCCGTTCCGCCACACGTAGCGGCCACGACCGTCCTGTAGATTCCTCCGCCATGTCCCCTCATAGAAATCCCCATTGGCATACCGCTTCTGACCATACCCATGCTTCCTGTCCGCGACCCACGCGCCGCGGTAGGTATCGCCGTCGACGCCGACAAAAGTCCCGAACCCTTCCATCCTCCCCGACCTGAACTCTCCGACGAACGTCGCCCCACTCGGCCACGAGAACTTCCCTTTACCCGAAGCTTTACCGCGCTTCCACTCCCCTTCATACATACACCCATCCTTCCACAGATACTTCCCGGATCCGTGAGGAACACCGCCGGAGAAGCCCCCGGCGTACAGATCACCATTCGGCAGCTTCTTCTCGACCTCCCCTTTCGCATCGCCGACGTACGTGGGAGCCACGCGCCGGTTCCCGGCTTGAGATCGGGAACGAACCATCGGAACCGGAACTGGAGAGAACACCAGATCTCCTCCGGCTTCGTCTTCCTCCTCCTCCTCCTCCTCTGCTTCAAGCTTCTTATTCTTCACCGTCTTCGTGACGCCGTTTGACTCCTCCCACGACAAAGCCCCACGCATTTTGTCTCATCAAACTCCTCAAACCTCAACGGAAATCCTAGGCTACAGGGTCTAGCAGCCACGCAGCTCGGCCGCCGGAACAATCCGCATTTACCGGCGATCACTCTAGAAAATTCGCCGGAGACTAAAAAGAATAATCCCCAAAAAAATTTAACAGGCCTCGATGAAAAAATTCTAGAGAGAGAGGGGGTATAATATTTGAAGCCGACTTTAGGAACACTGCAGTTACAAGGGAGTCACACAAACATCAAACTTTAATACGTATACCATTGCGTAATTACATAAATACCCTAAATTTTCTCTTTTATTTTCGTTTTTGCAACTCTAACGGCGGAATCTTCTTCCCTCGACGTGCCGTGACGGAATCCCAAGGACGTATCGTTACTTGTTGTTAGTATCTGCGTTAAAAACTTAAAAGCAGGCTGTGTTTCCTCTTAAGCCCTTGCTTATTGGATTTAACTACAAGTTTGTCACTGCCTCTGCGTGTTTAAAAGTCTAATTATTTTCCCCGCAAAAGCTAAAGATCAATAAATGGACCGACTAATAATATATGGTGGATATTGAAATTGAATTTAATTGAGAATTATTGTACGTTAAGTCTTCTCTTTGTGGTATATAAAACTACGTGAAATATTCATTTTTTCTGATGATCATGTGATTTTTATGTGATAATGATATATAACAATTTAGATGCATAAAGAAACCTAAATAATCATTAAAACGGGTATGTTTTTGCTTTCTTTAATTTTTTTTATATGCTATGAAATCCCGACATACTAATAAACTCTAAAGCAAAGAACCCTTGGCAGAAATATATATATATATATATATATATATATATATATATACTTACATTAGGTCAAATGTGTTACTTATCGCATTTTTTTTTATATATTGGGAACCCCGACTATTACCCTTCAAACGCGCTGACCGAGTAAACCCAAACCCACACGCATGAGCCTGCAACACACGCGTGGGAGGTAGATCAGCCGTAACTGACAGACGATAGGTGAGCGGGCAAGGAGTCGAACCCTCAACCTCTCGGTATTTATCGCATTTTTAGGTATATGTTGCATTACATTTGTTCTGCCAGCAATGCAAGAGAGCATTAATATTCATATTCATTTGTCTGTGACAATAAAATAAAATTTTCAAAATCCCTTTGGCATGAACCCAATTATAACATACATTGTGAATGACAGTAATTATTTAAATTATTTCCCCTTCTTCGTCGATTATTAAAGTTATTTTTGCGCTTCAGATTATTTTATCTAAAATGTAAATAGACTAAGACCGATCTGGTAACGAGCAACGTGGGATTGTGTTAAATCGATGAAAAATTATATCTAATTATTTTTAAAAACATATTGATTGGTTTATTCATAAAAATCATATTTATTTATTTTAATAATTACGTTATCATTCAACCTGATTCGATTAAATAGATTCTGCATTTTCTAATCGAGAAATATCCATCTAATTAACTAACCATACAACGGTTCTTTTTTCACCTTTTTAGTTGCGATTATTAATTGGATAATTTAATGATAGTTTTAATGTTATGGCCCATTATTCATGAGGTGGTTCTTAAGCCACCTCAGGCCAGGACCTTGCTATTTCATTGGATTATTACTATATAGTTTTATCATATTCATCACCCATTATTATATATTAATGGAGGCATGATAATATGTAAATATACTGATACCACACATTCTCATGTTGCGAAATTCGTTTGATTTTGGCAAACGTTCAACAATTTAGGCAGTCCAAATTAAAATTGTATTTTTATATGTTTAGTTAAATAACCTATATATTTTTTTTATTGTGATATATGGAAGAACGTATATTTTTATTCGATATATGTGGATATTGTTCTTCCACATGCACATCTGCATGCAGCTTTCATGGCCTAAGTAAACGAGGTACGTAGGCGAGTTTTTTTTTTTTTTTTTTTTTTTTG